CCCAATATAATGCAACCCTAGTTTTTTGCTCTTCGAACATTATGACAAAATGCAAAATAAGTGAAGCAAACAAATATTTCGGAAGACCTGAAGGATCCTGAATGGATTTTTACCGAAATTCTAAAACTCCTTAAATAAGCAAAAAAACAGTCCCGGGTTACAATAATTGAGGGTACAACGCATATATAGGATGCGCTATATATGTAGCGCCAATTATGCATGCACTATACCCTCAATTATTGGTGGGTCAGTAAAGTTTAAATATAGCGCATGTAATAAATGCGCTATACCTTAATAGACAAACGTGTTGTTAAGGTATAGTGCATTGAGTAAATGTGTTATATATACTTTGGTCATCAGTTATTTTTCACCTATTTTTATGCTTTGAGTCCAAAAAAGCAATATTTTGGTTACGGACTCTAGTTTTGAATCCCTGCATGGATCTTTTATTGAGAAATTGAAATAGAGAGATAAGATGTTAACATGGTCCTACCAAACATGCTAGAAATTCATAAGCAAAATACTAATTTATCAATTTCAATTGCTGTGACATTTCTTTTTATGAATTTCGAAATATTTGACATCATTCCATTTCTGTACAACTTTAACTTATTAACTCATAAAAATTCAAAAATTTTAAACTATTCATAGTGTAATGCCTTATGTGCTAACTTTTCAATCGTTATTTAATAATTTCTAACTTTAACCAATATAACACATATTATTCCATGTCGTTTAAATAAAAATCAGCGTACAAAATGGAACGGGAGGAGCAATATTAATTTATAAAAATATTCTCTCAAAATATTGATTTCAGACATAAAGTTATTTAAGAATCTACTACTCCTCAATATTTAAGAACTTGATCTTGATGTATAAAATATTCTGAGCGAAATCATAAACTAGAATCTTGAATGTATAATTGATGATTTGATGTGTCTTCTTTTACGACAAACATTTTTTACTTTTTGAGGAAATTGAAGACCGTCCAACCTAAAGAAACCGCTATTTATAATTGTAGAATAGAGACAAACATGTTGTAGTCAGAAAATCCAATATGCTCAAGTCATCAAAGCAATCTAAACAAGAGTTATTTATTTGAACACTTGAAATGAATTGATTGGCTTGCAAATTCAGTAACCGCGCATTGTAACTTGACATATGACATTATAGTACTGTGTTTGACTAGGTGTGCCCTACGTCTAATTGTGTACACGGATCATCTTATTCATCTGGGATAATAATAAAAAATAAATTAAAGAAAAACTAAGGCATGCGTTACTTGGGTAACTAATAAGATATTTTTTTTTTTCTATTTATGATTTGACCAAATAAATATCCGTAAAAGGCACATTCTTTTCAGAAAATATTATGTATGATTTCAATATTACATTGCCCAAAAAAAATGATGAAAGGAATATTATTAACTTTCTTTTCCTTGTGCATAGTCCCGGTTGGTTTTCTCCAATAAAATGATAAATAAATCAATATGATCTTTTCTTTTATCTCTTTCGTTTAACAAATCATACCTATTTTTGTTGCCTTACCTAATCAAAAAAAAAAAAAAATCACTCCTATTTTTCACATTTATGTTGCTTCTTCGATTTTAATAATCTTTGGTTGAATTAATTCGTGATTTTTCTGATACATAAAATGAAATATCAATATTATATCTGTAATTATTTGAATTTCTCTTATGCACCAATTTAAAGCAAATAGTTTTGTGGAATATCTAGAACACATACCAAGACAAAGAATAATTTCTAGGCATGATTGAGTTTTTCAAAAAGTTTGTAGGTTCATGAAATTGTGTGGTTATTGATTTAGTATTTATTATTACTCAATGTGAGTACTCCATATTTTTCGAAATGAGGGTAATGTACTTTAAAATATGGCGAGTTGTCCTTAGAAAAAAAATTCAAGGAAAGGGTCTAACCAAAGGTATTAAGCATCTCCTGTCAAATCAATGTAGCAATTTTCTTTAAATAGGTCTACCCTCCAATTATTGCTTTAGTATTTAGTAAGGCCCCGTTTGGCCATGAGTTTTCCCAAAATAAATTTGAGATTTATTTTCAAAACTCATGTTTGGCCATAAATTTTGCTCATATTTTGGCCAAATCCCAAATAAATTTCAAATCCCAAAATCAGCTATTGAGTTGATTTTGGGCCAAAATTCAGCAACTTGGGAATTATATACATGTTTTTCCAAAATAAAGTTGGAAAATATGTTTTGAAAACGTATGTCCAAACACATTTTCTTCTTCAAACCAAACTTCATTCAAATCAGATTTTTCAAAATAAATTTGGAATCTATGGCCAAACGCTAGCTAAGACTGTTCAGATGGGACAAATTTTTTAAATCTTCTAAATAAGGGAATCATGCTCTAATATATTCCTCTCTTTTCTTTTCTTTTTGAGATAAAATATACTGAATTATATTTTATGTTTTGTAGTTATATGTGCCTTAATCAATCAACAATTTCAATTTTAAACTAATAATTTTTATGAATCTTTTATATAATTAATTGGAACCCACTACTTGATTATTTAACGCTACACTCAGCTAATTTAATTCTCTTTTTTGTAACTAATCTTAGTTTTATGTATTTATGAAAGGACAAGGATGTCATTAACTTTTTAACAAGATTTAGTAATCACTGATTAGTTTACAAGCTTTTCTTTTTCTTCTTCTGTCTGACCAAAAAGAGGACAAAAAAGGTTGCATGCTCAGCTCTCAGGTGTAACAGAACCTCTAAAACTGTTCATAAATAAAGCCAGAAAAGAGTCAATAATAAACACTACTCTGTAGATAAAACCAATGTTTATTTAATCTCTCTGGTAATGGTCTTGGATATAAATTGCTTTTGGTCTACTTCTTCACTGTATCTGTTTGGGTTTTTGTTCTCTTGTTGCTGCATGCAGACTAATGGATTCTGAGTGATTCTTCCCCTTCTCAGTTTTCTGGTATGATGTTCTCCACCACTTTCTTCTTCTGTTTCTAGCATTTTCTTGGACTTGATCTGTTTTTTTCCCTTCTTTTGTGTGTGGCCATTTCCAAATCTCTCCCTCTGAATCTCTGTTGCATGGCTTTTATATGATGGGGACTGATAAATGTTTTTGAGTCATTTTTTCCTTTTTTCTTTCTTCCTAGGGTTCTTCTGTGGAATAAATGTCCTTCGTTGTTAATCATTGGGCTTTGTACATTTCAAAGATTAAAACCTTACTTCTTTGTGTGTTTAATATAGGGGTTTGAAATTGATTCCTGGATTGGTTGATTGCTGCTTGTGAATCATTGGGCTTTGTGCATTTCAAAGATTAGGACTTTAGTTTTTGGTGTGGTGAATAGAGGTTTTGGAACTGATTTCTGGATTGGTTGATTGCTAGTTGTGAATCATTTGGCTTTGTGCATTTCAAGATTAGCACTTTAGCTTTTGGTGTGGTGAATGGTAACCCATGGGATGGGATCTCAGGGGGGAGTTGGTGGTGGAAAAGAAGCAAAGCCGAATGTTTTGGCTAGGCAAGGATCACTCTACAGCCTCACTCTTGATGAGGTTCAGAATCAATTGGGGAATTTTGGGAAACCACTAAACAGCATGAATCTTGATGAGCTTGTTAAAACTGTATGGACTATTGAGGCTAGTCAAGAATTGGGGGGAAATGATTATGGGGGAGCGCAGCACCGGACTAATTCCCTGCATCGACAATCATCGGGCATTACAATGTCCACAGATCTCAGCAAGAAGACTGTTGATGAGGTGTGGCAGGATATTCAACAGGGGCAAAAAAGGGATGGTAGTATTGATAAGAGAAGTCAGGAGAGACAACTTACTTTTGGTGAGATAACTCTGGAGGATTTCTTGGTCAAGGCTGGAGTGATTGCAGAGTCGACCCAAGGCAGGAGAATTTCGGGTTTAGTTTTAGGGGTTGATTCAATGTCATTGGCACAGCAAGCTCAGTGGCCACATTATCAAATTCCCACAATGCATCAGGCACCGGAACAACAGCTTCAACAACAACAGAATATCGTACCAGTTTTTATGCCAGGCCATCCGGTTCAACAGCCTTTACCTGTTGTTGCTAACCCAATTGTGGATCCCGAAACTCAGATGACAATGTCTCCATCACATCTAATGGGAACATTATCGGACACACAAACATCTGGAAGAAAGCGGGTTGCTCCAGAGGATGTGATCGAAAAGAGTGTCGAAAGGAGGCAGAAGAGGATGATCAAAAATAGGGAATCTGCAGCTCGGTCGCGAGCAAGGAAGCAGGTGCTTTGACTTATTTTGCAGTTTTTTGGGATATAATTCATCTATGTTCCCGTGAAATTTTACTCTTCTGATCAACAGGCTTACACCCATGAACTAGAGAACAAGGTTTCACGGCTTGAAGAGGAGAATGAAAGACTTAAAAGACAGAAGGTAGGATTTGCAAATCAAAATAATTCATGCATGAACTCAGTATTCATTTGCATTTGCATTTCTTCTAGTGATCTTTGAGGTATGTCTTATCTTAATCACATCCTTCACGTCATTAGCATCATTTTGCAATGGCTATGCGCAGTAAATGAGACACAGTCTAAACACATGAGAAAACATATGAGGAAAATTTGTGAAGTTCTTACTTCTCTAAGTTCATTGGCTATATGTTTAATTCGACCTGATGTTTTCCTTCACAATGAAACATAATGTTTAGAATTATTTATGCAGTCAGAAGGAAGAGCTTGTGATTCATGCCCCCCCCCCCCAAAGATGGTTAATCAATAGACTTAGCTTTTCTAGTAACAAGTGACTTGTCGTCTTGTGATAAAAGTATGTCAAAGTTAAGGATTTTTAGGTGTGAAATAGATCTTTGTCAAACTTATAATAAATGTAACTGTTCTTATTAAAATTCATAATCTATAATCATTTATTGAATTGCCCCATTAGCTATTTAAATTCAGCATAGCCTATATTAACAAGTGATTATCGTCTTGTGATAAAAGTACGTCAAAGTTAAGTATTTATAGGTGTGGAAAAGGATCTTCGTCAAACTTATAGTAAATGTAATTGCTCTTATTAAATTTCATAATCACCTCATTGAATTGCCCATTAGCTATTTGAAATGAGAGAAAGGTCAATGAAAACAGGAGTAGACTTTAGAAGGCCCTCAACTTTCTTTACTATCCTTTTCTTTTCTGTAATAAAAATGTGTTTCTCATTCCCTTTTTCTGTTTTCAATTTGTTTTATTTTGTTGGTCGCTGTGAGGCTTTAAGCTACTTCTCTGTTTAACGATACATTTAATGTGTCGGGAGAATCAGAAAGTAAAAACACCCATAGATGCACACAAGATGGATGTTCCTATGTGAAAGTATTGACTAAGAAAGCTCTATTGGCCGCTAAAAGATCTAGTAATTCTGCTTTACATATCCAGCCACACTGTAAGGATATGGTTCTAGATTGCATTACTTTACTAACAATCCAACTGCATATATTCTTGCTTCAGTGCCCTTTTTTATAGTTTGTTTTAGTTATTGCATAGTCTAGAAGTTGATTCCATATATGTTTCAATGAAAAAACATGACTAATGAGAAATCAAGAGGACATTTTGTGGGAGGGAGGGCTAGCAGGGACCTAATTCATTTTAGCGCTTGCCTGTTGAGGGCATCAGCGTTCGGTTGGCCTCATAAGTAGAAGGAAATGTTAAATTTTTCCATTGGTAGTTCAATGTCGAACCATTTATTTAGAGAAGAGTTCATGAGATTGGTGACTCCTAGCCATAGTTGGAAGGACCGAAGAACTTCAGACACGCTTAACTTCTTCTCTTGTCTAGTCCTTCAGGGAAGACGTTCTAGGCTTTACCTCATCTTCCACCTGAAGTGAACTTTAAATTTCATCTAGACAAAAATGATACATGAAACTGATAGATTTATGAACCCTTCTTGACTTAGCTATTCATCTCTTGTAGCTTGATGCACTTCAAATATATCTTAAAAACACTTTCTTCTTTAAAATATTTATGAGGAACATCCGAACAAATAACTCTTGCGAAGCTCATTTTATGGCTGCATTGCTTCATTGTATATTCTTGTGTTATGGATTCGCAAAAGAGAAAGTAAACAACCACATTAAAAAGAGAAAAGACTTCTGTCTCTTGATGTATTTATGCTTTTGGTTTGAATATAGGAATTCCTAAGCAAACTGAACCAACACCGTAGAGTGACGTGACTTTCAAAATCTTAGTAACTGGTGGAAATTAAGTTTGATAGGTGGCTTCCAGATGCATATAATGCCAAAAGAAATGCTTTAGATAGTTGCAATGGAATGCTTGGTCATTAAAAAACTCATTACTTAGTTACAATCAACTTGTCAATAGTGTAGGTAAGTCTTACGCTTGTCCAACCGAACTTCTATTTTCTGTGTTAATTAGGATTCGTCAAATGCTTTTGGAGAAATCATAAGTGCTGACATGGCAAACTGTAATTGTCATTGTTTCAAATAGCAAGGTAGTTCTTGCTTTGTAGTTGACTTGCTGTCTCTTGACTATTTTCAGAAGAAACTTGCCTCCCTTTGGTTCTTACCTGATCAAGTATGGTTTTTATCTGCAGGAGATCGAGAAGATTTTACCAAGTGTGCCACCCCCAGAGCCAAAGTATCAGCTTCGCAGAACAAGTTCGGGCCCTATCTGAGATATAACTTCATGTAGATGCTTTTAATGTCAGCAGCTAATCGCACTCTTTCACCTCTCCTTTGTTCTTGCTCAATGGGAACCTCTTCTAGTGATTCCTAGTTGATGTGATTCCCTTGGCTGTGTGTATTCCCCTTGATAATGTAATGTGTCCCTTTATATAAATTTTAATAGTTTGGACATAGAGAACATGGTTTTCTTAGTTTCTTCCCAGTTTCAAAGTAAAATTATGTGTTTTTAGAGTTAGCTAGAATTTGAGGATATAGTTTAGGGTCATCATTTACTAGATACAACGTCCACAAAACAGCTTGGATTTTGTCTCTGTTGAAGGATCATGACTCATTTTCCTCTCTTTCCTTTTGTGCGTTTCTTTTTGGTTGATAAAAAACGGTGGTTGAGTTAGTTTGCACGCACCTCGACTATTCTATTTGAGTATTTGTTACCATTTCGTTGAGTGTCTGTCACCTCTCGCTTGCACAAGTAACTATGTCCATCAAGACTAAGGCGAAAAAGAAATTATCTAGTGTTCTTGTCTCTGCATGAGATGCTTTTGTATGTAGATGGAGATTTTCTTTTTCCTTCTTTTTTTGTTTTTTGTAAATGGAGTTTCCCTACTAGTGCATCTTGCTCGACTCCAAAAATGGCCAGCATATTGAATTGGTTTTGCAGGATTTATGTTCTTCAAATATTACAATCCACTATCATCACTGACTTGCAATTGCTGGAAATTGGCCACCTTCTTCCCTTTTGAGGAATGATGCTCAAAGTATAAATTTGTTTCCTTTCAATCAAAAGAAACTTAACATGAAATACTAATCTCATCAAGAAAATAGTTTTCTTAAAAGATACATTTCACCCTTTTGTATAATTTTGCTTCCAGTTACTTATTTCCGTTATAGTCAACAAGTTTGATAGTGCTTCATTTTCATCCACCCTTTCAACGAGAATAATAAGCATATAACGAACGAATTTAATAAATTATTCAAACATTAGGAACTACTAGTAGTAGATAAGGGAGAAGGACTTTGAATGAGTGTGCAACTGCATAATTTTGGAACATGAACATTTGCTAAATTCCAACAGTTTAAAAAGATGTATGGCAGTTTGACTGGCAAGCTGCATCCAGTAGAGATATATTTGAGCTTACCCTCTTTAAAAGTGCTTACCTTATCAAGATGATTCAAATGTTCAGAGATGAAGCCACTACTATTTTAGGTCTGTTCAAGTAGTTCATCTTGAGGCCTTTAACACACCTAAAGTAATAATAACTCCATCTCTGAACATTCAAACTGGTGGATGGCATCCAAAAACTCAGGTACTGCTTTCCTTTCTCTTTCTTCTAAGATAGAGACGCTGATTTCCAAGGAGGGCCTTGTACTTTTTATCATAAACTGTGTATGCACAAACCTTGTTAAAGAAAGGAAGAAACCCAATTAATAGCAGCTATGCCTTATGTACATAGTTCCCAGATCTACACTAGCTAAACTAATTCACCCCCTTTAAAACCCAAAACTTGAAAACCTGGCAAGAAAATAACCTACTCAATTGCCACACTAAACTTCAGCTAACTTATTGGAGCGACCATGAAAATATAACATTGAAAACCTATAGATCTTTCCACACATTAAAGTCAGTCGTTGAGCCATTGTAGTTGATTATACTATCCTGGCACCCCATGAAGTATGTACTCTTCACAGGATCAACATTTACTAGAGCATGAGCAGTTCCGTGGGGGCTGACTGCAACAGCAACTTCATCTGCACCAATTATTACTTCAGCGTAGCCATTTTTGACCGCATCATTTTCCAGCTGTAAGAAGTTAGTGAATCAAGAGCAAGGACTTAGTATATATAACAAACTTGCAACCTTGACCCAAAAGAAAGGAAAAGAAAGTAAAATTACTCATTCACAAAGATAATCTACGGGAAATGTAATTAAAGAGATAATTTAATAGCTATAATTGGTTATTTCGTCTTCATTTCCCTTTCATGCAATTTAGAAATTAAGGAATAATCAGCATATCATGATTTGGGACTTTTAAAGGAGCTAACTGCAGAAATTCAATCATATACCCGTTCAAAGGACAAGCAGAATGCCTGCTTCAATGGTGAGTAAAGATAGAGTATTGCAATGATAAGAAAGGTAAAAAACTACAATAAAATGGATGATGGAAATAGAAAAAGGACAGGAGTACAGATGATAAAACCAATCACCACACCTCGTGGTCTTCAAGACATATCTTCGGTACTGAAAAATGTATTAGAAAGAGGAAATGATATATCTGGAAACATATAACTACTTTGGAACAAGTAAACTTGGGGAGAGTTTTGATAGATACTTTGAAGATTTTGAAGAACTAGGAGAGAAAGCATGATTAAGGCTAGGGGAAAGACTTCGAGAATACTCCATCAGGATGGCACTTCTATGCATGTAACTTTAGCACACAAAAAAGGTTCAAGGACTGAGACCGCGAGACGTTAGTTTTTCTGGGAAGTATGACACAACTAAAGAATATGCTTGACAAGTGACAGCAACTAAAACATAAGATCCTGTAGAGCCGGGACATCTTGTATGCAAGAAAATACATTACATGTCACAAGGACTACAAAAAGAATCAAACTGATTTATGTAACACCAATATATCAAACTTTTTCATCTTGATTACATTCAAAGAACAATATGTTCCCCTACAGATAAACATAGTAAAAGGTGGATCTAAAGTAAATTACTAATGATTAAGATAGGTAGAGATGTAAAAGCTTTCAGCTCTGATACTACAGGGAGGAGAAACATACCCGGAACACTGTCTTAGCTCCCCAAATAACAAATGTCTCATTGCATGTGTGGTGCCTGTGGTTGCCCCTAACACCACCGGGTCTGATCTCGCCCAAATGAACTGAAGCACAGCCTGCTGCCCCACCTGCAGCAAGAATGACCTCCTCTTATCAATGACAAAATCATTCTAGGCAAACTTAAAATAAAAGATGACGATATAGAATAATTTAAATTTATCTGGCGGTTATGATATACGCTATATCAGGGAAATGGGAAAAGAAATACCATCTATTTTTCCCCTGTACTCTAACTTTGAACTTGCACATTTTCGAGAAAGAAAAAATAATGCATCAACTGCTATGCATTAATCCTAATAAACCAGTTGGAATTCTATTCGAATATTCGGATCCTTGCATACATACTCAATACTTTCTCTTTCCAGACAAATTAGGGGTTTCTACAAAACTAAAAATTCTCTAAATCTAACGCTTACCCATACGATGAAACACAAACTTCTAATCAAACCAAAAAGATCCTGGTAAACGTCAAACCTAATATAAATATACCAATAACAAGTAGAGCTTAATCCCAACTAGGTAGTATCATTTGCATACATCCTTTGCTTCTATTATGTTCTGTTCATTGCTGAGTTTGTGTGGAATCTGAGATACTGTAGGTCTTTTATGCATTACCAGGAAAGAGAGAGAACTGGGATGCCAAAATCGAGGCCAAGAGAAATGGGGTTGAGAATGACCCACACTTTTCTTTGGAAATAACAGAAGAGGAAGGTCGGAATCTCACAAGATTAGCCATCTGCTCTTTGAAAATAATGTTAATTCTAGACTTGCACATTTCTTAATTTTCTACCAATCTCTATTAGTTATACATATCATCCAACGAACTAAGCTTTAAGTCCAAACTAGTCAGGGCAGGTCATATAAATCCTAAATATCCATTCGCTCACAAAAGAAGCTACGTATATTACCAGTAAAAAACTAAACTTTCCTTGGTCCTCTAGGTCCTTGTATTCAAGTTGCTTGCCTATTGCGAACGATTTTTCTTCTTGGCTTACCACTCTTTATTCGCACAGGATTAGAATAGGAACCTTAATGGAGCTAATGAGAAAGCAGTTGCAGGGCGAGTGTAGGCAGTAATGAGCTAACCCATCTTCTGCTTATTTGGTGGTTGCAACCAAGACAATATCTTTATGCCCATCAAAGGACCTCGAGATGCTAATCCACCAAAAACATATCGACCCGTTTAAATGCATTGGAGTATGAACATACATATATGGCTCATATTTAAATCCTATCTTCAGGAGCACGCATATCCTGTCTTTTAAGGAAAAATACTATACTATTATAGTTAATACATTAACATATAGTAGTAAATTTTTTCTTAAAAAAGAGGAGACCTGAAAGGGCAGAATCAAGGGCAAGGGAAATGGGGTTGAGCAACCAGCCACGTTTATCTTTAGCAATGGAAGAAGAGGAAGCTGGGAACCTCAAAAGATTAGCCATTTGATCTGAACCAGAAGAATGAAACTTGGCAGGATGCCACTCTTCCCGCTGATGACTTGAATCTGAGGGACGTTGGAATCTGAGGGAAACCCAAGTGAGGAAAAGGAAGAGGGAAAGGAGGAAAGGGAAAGCATGGGGTTTCTTCAGGAAGGATATCAAACTTGACATTTGGGTTGATGTCTGATTCTGAAATCCGGCGGCGGCGGAGATTGGAAGTTGCTGCTGGTTACCGGAAGGGGAAAATGAAATCCTTCTAGGGTTTGCCATCTCTGATTTTGGCCTCTTTATTCTTTCACATTTCTTCTCTTCTCTTCTATGGCCTCAACGAAGGACAATCTTTCACAGTGGAGTTTGGCTTTGGATTTTGCACCTGTCCCACCTGCTACCTGTTTTTTTTTTTTTTTTTATTCATTCCTTTTTATGTTTGTTCTTTTTTCTTTCTACAAATCTAGTGCCTTGTTATGAAACAATAAAAGAAGAGAAAACTAGGGAAAAAGAATTTTTGTTGATTTGGGATGATTTATAATGGAATAGAACTCCTTTATTTATAGGAAAAAAGTGACTTAGTCACCAAGTAAGAAACCCTAAAATCTCTCTAAAATATAGACATTCACCTTAAATAGAATTCTATTTATAACACTCCCCATTGAATGTCTATTCAACAGATAATGTGCCTCGTTAAAACCTTAACTAAAATAAAACCTAGTAGGAAAAAATTCTAGTAAAGGAAAAAGAGTACACATGTTTAGAAATACGCCTTTTGGTTGCCTCGTTAAAAACCTTGCAAGAAAAACCCAGTGGGACAAAACCTTGTAAGGGAAAAAGAGTTCAACGCGTATTAACTCCCCCTGATGAGAGCATCAATTCAGATATTTGAGTCTTTGCATTCCAATCTTGTGCATCATCTTCAAAAATTATTAAAATAGATTCGATAAAAAAATCGGTCATATTAACTTGAATGGAATTATTTCACCTTGAAATCATCATTCCTGATATAGATGTATTGTCTTCATATGATCTTGTTGGAATGTCATTTCAATATCTTCACATAGGGATGAAAACTCTTGCTATCGTATTATCATGCTTATAGTTATAGCAAGATACATTTGTGCGCAAATAACACTTAGGATATGGTACTTCAGGACCAAGAATTGTATATGCTTCAAGCAATTTAAATCCTTCAAGGATTGTCATATAAGTTAAGTCATATAATTAATGTAATAGACTTTAATTAGATGCATATCAAGTTTTCATGTCATGCTAGACAAATAAGATATCAAAAATTGATTGCACATATCATTGACTTTATACTTTCAAGTGTTTGAACTGCAGGTCCAAATAACTCGTCTTTCATATGAAACCAATTCTATTCGAATTGCGTCTCTTCTATTTGGACAATATTTTTGTGTATGTATTCGACAAACTTAAGATCCTCATCTATACTTAGCGCTATCATAGATGTCGTCGACGAACATTTTATATCGGTTCCAATATTATTTCATAAAGACGTAACATAGAGATCTCTTCATTCATATTTTCAGGTACCTGAACCTCTCCTGAGATTTTATGAAGTTTTATGTCATGTGATCTTCTAGATTACTTGCCTCCTTTATTATGATCATTTGCTAATCTTCTTTATCAAGAAGTTATTTGAAATCGATCTGTCTATACGCTTTAAGTGTACCATAGACTTTGTCCTTCTAGGACTTGTTCTAATGGGAGCATTTGCAGTGAGAATATAGTTACTTTCTTTGGGTCAGCAAATGCGTCTAGCATGCGTTGCAATATATTGCAGATGAATTATCTTTTTATGAACTTCAAGTTCATATTATCTTATTCGAGGATCTAGATGTACAAATGATAATTCATTCCACGTAACTTTTTCTGAATTGTTTTATCCTTTCTCCCCCTCATGTTAGAAAAACTTACTTTCTCAACTTTTGAAAATCCATCTTTATTCGTTATGGTGTTAATTAAAATATACACCGCATGTTAATAATAATAAGACGGAATTATTTGGTTCCTGACCCTAAACTACTTGTAAGGGGAGAATGTAATATACTTTAGTATATAACCTATATCAAACTGATATATATAACTTTGTTCTCATAAGAAATAGTTTAACTATTAAGTGGAGGCACTCAATAAGTCATCTTGCTAAACCAGTTGTGATGTAAACCAACTTATCAAGATAAACTATCATGAATAGAAAATCTGAAAAGTATGCTCTCAATTAAATAATTGAGCAAGTTACCTCGCAAACACCAGATTGCGGGTTAATAATGATCGCACATGTAATTATCTCATAGATGCATCTTATGTGGTATACATGGCAGGTGAATGGGCCCAATATTTACTTTGATATTTCCAGCATTCATGGGATTCAATCCCAATTTTAGTTGGTCTATTAATTAATAAGAACAAGCAACATAAGAGAATTCGTAAAGAATTTTCTAGTTCTTTAATATTTATCCATGTGAATTCTCTTTTATTTTTGCACACCATACTTAAATTAACATCGCTAAACCAATTATGCCAACTGAATAAATTATCAATATTGATAAAGCTCAGGTTTACACCATGACGTGTGCAATTATCAATAAACTTCAAGTTTATTATGATATGGGTTTTTGTATCAATAAACTTCTACTTTATTGTGGCATTATTTTATTTATATAGTACAAAATTGAAGAATAAAGCGCGTAGCTTTCCACATACATATTGCCCCGCTACAAGTTGTAGTAATAGAAGATATTAAATCTTTCCTTTATTTATAGTCTCGATATATTCAACCGCTTTCGCGAATACTTTAGAAACTGAATAAGTTTCTTTGAGACTTACTACAAAACAATACCTTATTGGTAATCAATTGTGTTTCTCCAAAATAGTATAATTGGCTCTTGCAGAGTTCTCAATTAATTTTATAGTACCACATATTTATCAACATCCATATGGTGAATATCTCTTTTAAAAAGAAAGTTATACCATTATGGTTATGGTCAAAATTATATGCAAGATCTGTTTCTTGCATTACCGTTGTCTTTTAATAATGACAATGCCAAAATATTTTGGCGTACAATAAGTACGTGACCAATGACCATTTATGCCATAATAATGACATTATTTTCTTATTTCCTCTCAAACCTCCTTCTAGAGGTGAGTGTGGTATATACCACTAGCACGCTCATATTCTTTCAAAAATGAATATGTATTCATAAATCACATGTTGTCACATTCACATCATGAATGGACCATAATCATTTATATGTGCTTTACAAAATCTCATGTCAAATCGATGACAAACATTACTTTCACAGAGTGAAGGATTATTTTGAGAATCCTTATTATTCTCATTACCACAATGATGACGATTATAATTTCGTCTAATCACATCCACATCCATTGATACCTTCACGGTAATAATTTTGTCTTATTTCAGAATTATTACATATTGCTACCATATTCTCTTAAGGGAATGATAATGAATCAAATTCAATGGGACGGGTTTACACTTCTTGTGCTCACGATCATACATGACTTTGATCATTGCAAGATATAGAAATTTTACCACTTTGAGTGGTTATAATTTTCTACTACTCCATTAGAGTTATAATCAAAATTTATTGTGTTTGCTTGTATTTAAAATCAAATTATAGAATAAAAGTAAAAAATGCGGTAAAATACATACATTAAATCCAGAATTTAATCATGAAGGAAGTTCAAGGAACAATTGATAATCATTATGCTCAATTTCAAAGCTTCTACTCAACTGGTAGAGTCTCGTGCTGATAATGTGTTATGAAACAATAAAAGAAGAAGAATAGTATTGCAGAGAAAAGTAGGGAGAGAAAATTCTTGTTGATTTAGGATGATTTACAATGGAGTAGAACCCCTCTATTTATAGGAAAAATGTGACTTAGCCACCAAGTAACAAACCCTAAGATCTCTCTAAAATATAGACATTCACCTTAAATAGAATTCTATTTATAACATCCCTAATCCTTTTTCATATATATATATATATATATATATATATATATATATATTACATGTGACAATGGTTACAAATTCCTTATAAAAAGAGATTATTAAGAAATGTAGCTCAAAGTAACAATATAAAACAAGAAGATAAGTAGAATAAGATAAGAAGAGATAACTTTCTTATTTCATCAAGTGTTCAAGTGTGTCTCATATCACATTTCATGCCTCTATTTATACTATTACATAGAAGGATACAAAAGGATTGTCTTAAACATGACATTAACAATTGAGATCATGGGGAAGGGTTATGGAGGTGTGAGAGTTACAATCATAATATTGATAAGTAGTGGGAGGTTATTTACATCATGGGTGAAAGTAGTGGGAGTAGTGGACATCCATAATTACTATAGGTTTTACAACACTCACCCTTGGATGTCCATAAATAGATAATATGCCTTGTTAAATCCTTACTAAGAAAAAATCCTATGGGAAAAAACCTTAGTGAAGGAAAAAGAGTACGCATATCTGTAATATGCTTTATTTGCTGCCTCGTTAAAAATCGTACTAGGAAAACCCAGTGGGACAAAACCTAGGCTAAGGAAAAAAGAGTACAACGCGTATCTTACTCCCCCTCGTGAAAACATCACTTTATTTCTCGAAGACGGCGCATTCCAATCTTCTGTCTTAACTTCTCAAATATTGAAGTTGATAATGCCTTAGTGAACAGTGTAACGACCCGACTGGTCGTTTCGCTTTTTAGAACCCCGTTCCCCTAAATGAGACTTCCCGCGCTTGCGTTAAATAATTTATGACCTGCAGGGATGGTTGGTTCGGGATTTAAAAGAGTTTGGGTTGAAATAGGCACACTTGTTTCCTTAAGATTTTCTTAAAAGGCTAAGTTTGACATTGGTCAACATTTTTAGTAAATGGACCCGAACTCGTGTTTTGACGGTCCCGCAGGATCCGTAGGAAAATATGCGACCTAGGCGTATGCCCGGAATCGAATTCTGAGGTCCCTAGCCCGAGTAACGAATTTTTGTTAGAAATTGTTAAACTGAAATTTCCAAGGATTTAAAGAATTTAATAATGTTTGATCATGATGGTATCGGGCCCGTATGTTGGTTCTGGAGCCGGTACAGGTCCAATATAATATTTAAGTCTTGTCTGTGAAGTTTGGTGAGAAACGGGACTGATTTGACAAGATTCGGACGTCCGGTTGTAAAAATAGGAATTTGAGTGTTCTTAAGGATTTCATGCATTTTGGAGTTGAATTCGTAGTTTTAGATGTTATTTCGGCGATTTGATCGCTCGATCAAGTTTGTACAAGGTTATTGGACTTGTGTGGGTGTTCGGAGTGGAGCCCGAGGGCTCGGGTGAGTTTCGGGCATGGGTTGGGGGTGAAAAACACCCCAGTT